TGCCTTAAAGATATCTTGCCATTATAATTTACAGGAGAGCTTTGGGAGGCAGGTTGAACGACTTAACCCGCGGGCTTCCCAGCTTCCGTTTTGTTGGCGGTGGCGAAAAAGCTACTAAGGAAGTTAAAAACGGGACCACAACTACATAGAGAACCAAATAGGAAACCAGAAGTAATTCCTTATATTCACAAGATCTCTCATAATAAGAAAAATATAGCGGGGCGCTTCGATGTGCCTATTGCCTTTTCGACCCCACGTAAGATGTCGCAGTTATGCCCCAGAGTGGCTGAGAGAGGTGGGAGTGGCAACAAATGTGCGATAAATTACAGGAGTCGGGGTGGTCTATCGTATCTATAAATTGCGCAGTCGGGGTGGTCTATCGCATTCCGTTAAGCTGTTGACGAGAATACACCCGCCAGACTGGCTGTTGTGTCAATGATCGCGTACGCGAGCATGCACTTTCGCTGCGGTCTTACCACTGAGGCGCACCTTTTCTTACACTCTCACATGCATGTGTCAGCTGAAATTATACAACACGATTTTGTGCAAGGGGGCTGACAAAGCTGCAAGCGAATAGCTGGAAGCATACGAGATAGGAATGGAGGGTTATAATTGTGTCAGTCAAACATCGGTGCATTTACACAGGAAAGATAACTTTTTGGAGCACGTGTTGACGCTCTGACTGTGTGGTTGGTTACCTCGATGGTTTCTTTTCATGAAAGGGACCATGAAATTATCTTTTTACTTTTGCCACAGAACTTTTACATTAAACCAGCAATGTTCACTGAATGTCGAAGAGGCATCCGTTTTCGTCTCGGTTTAATAACTTCTACACAAAAAAGTAATGAAGTATCGACTTTTTCTTTCTCTCCAACTAACCGCAAAACAAGCTGCGGCGTAATTTTGACGGTCGTGACGTACAGTGACCTACGCTGTTTCCGAAACGGGAAGTTCTCTCGGCAGTAGAAGAATGGGAGCGTTAGTGGCAGTTAGCGGCGGCGAGTTGGCGGTGTGCCGGTAGGTTTTACTGCGCTGATGGCGCAGATGTCACCGATGTATTTTCTGAATCGGCGCCATCGGCGCGATAGCCATGGACACATCGCAGCTGAGCGAGATTCAATGAGATATGTTGCGCTACAGCGACAGCATGGGACTAGTCCCATACGCCGGTATGCCTGTTGGGAAGTGCGGCGAGTCTTCCGGTGAAGGCTCCAGAAGTCAACCCAACTGTCATTGTTGGTAAAAGGCGGCCCGTGTCAGTCGCTTGCAAAGCGACGTAGATCGAGATAAATGGTCAATACTTCAGCTTGGGCGAGTTGGTTAAACATGCTAATACTTCGCAGCGCACAACAGACAACACACCATCAAAACAGATACACACAAAGAAACAACACTCACGCAGCGCTGACTGTCAACTCTCGGATATATTAATCTTCGTTCTTATCTTTCACCCTTACGCACTAAAAAGAAATAAATGTTAACCAAGGAAGAACAGCGAAAGAAAAATAAAAAATAAAAAGAAAAGGGAAAGATTAATATAGGAAAGAAAGATGGAAAGAAATGGAAGAAAATAAGATCTAGTCCTACTACAGTAAAATTACTGAGGAGGTTTTCCTAAATAATATAACTCTTTTCTTGATAAGCTAATCGACGGGGTACTAACGCATACACCGTCTAGCAGGTCTATGCTCGCGGCTTCGATGATTTCTCGAGTTAGTTTGTTGTTGCTTCGTCCCAGTACTGTAGTGGATGTTCCCCCCTTCTGGGCAACTGCACAGTACTGGGACGAAGCAACAACAAACTAACTCGAGAAATCATCGAAGCCGCGAGCATAGACCTGCTAGACGGTGTATGCGTTAGTACCCCGTCGATTAGCTTATCAAGAAAAGAGTTATATTATTTAGGAAAACCTCCTCAGTAATTTTACTGTAGTAGGACTAGATCTTATTTTCTTCCATTTCTTTCCATCTTTCTTTCCTATATTAATCTTTCCCTTTTCTTTTTATTTTTTATTTTTCTTTCGCTGTTCTTCCTTGGTTAACATTTATTTCTTTTTAGTGCGTAAGGGTGAAAGATAAGAACGAAGATTAATATATCCGAGAGTTGACAGTCAGCGCTGCGTGAGTGTTGTTTCTTTGTGTGTATCTGTTTTGATGGTGTGTTGTCTGTTGTGCGCTGCGAAGTATTAGCGAGATAAATGGCCGCGGCGTTTTTCGCGGCCTCGGCGATGCAGGAGAGAGCCGACGTTAAAAAAGATACGTTTGAACTACGAGAGTGTCAGCAAGAGCCACGTAAATACCTGTTCACACTCGTAGCGGACGCGCGCGTTTGATGGAAGTGCTGTATTCGCGCTGCTGGTAAGCGCTTCGGGACCGATCTTTTAAGATTGCAACTCGATACTGACGCGACACTCGGCAAAGGAAGGTTGGACCGGCATTGCACGTAGCTCCCTCGAAATGCTATAGCTCGACAGTGACGTGCAGTCTGTCAGAATAAAAATGGCATACTAATAACAAAGTGTACTATCGCGGACAATATGAGCTGAAACAGCGCTCCGGCCGCCGCACGGTACTACCTGCGCCGCCTGTCGCCTTGCTCCGCACACATGGCGCACCCTGAGTACGAGATAAATTCTCACTTGCGCTCGCTGCGCCACTGCGCTCTTCCGGCCGTCTGCAAGCGAGACGGCGGGTGCGACAGCGGGCATGTGTGTGGTCGGGCGGCGGGGGGAACAAAATATTACACTTGTCGTCTCTCGTTTGGAATTGATTTACTTTATCGCGCAGAATCCAGTAAAAAAAGCGCTAACTGGTGAAGAAAAAATATTGAAATGTCTTAAATTTCAGCTGCGATTATCGTTTTTGAAACTCACATCAAAAACGTTGCAGGTTGTTTTTGTTTGATTATAGGTGCATGCACAAAGTAGGACATCGCAAAATATTGGCCAAAATCTGTATGCCGGATTTAATCCGGCTCCGAAGTATTTACTTTTTTTTTATTTTTCATTAATCACAAATGTTTAAAATTAAAAAAAAAAAAAAAAAAAAAACGGGAAGCGTATACATGTTATTGAGAAGCTTTGTAAGCTTGATTGGTATGAAAAGGGTCAGAAAGTTTTATTTCTTTATTACTGGGCCCACGTGTTTGTTTCAAACAAAACAAGTTGCTGACAAAACACCAGTTCTTTTTTTTTTTTTTTTACAAATTCCTAGTATTAATAAAGTGGAACAAACAGTCATGTATCTGCCAGGAGAAGGAGATTGAAACTTAATCGAAAGAATTTTTACAGAGGACAATGTCAGACAGAAAAGATTAATAGTCGGCGTGGAATTTCAACTGCACTATACAGGAAGTTCGGGATCAAGGAAACATTACACAAAAGTATGCTTGGTTAACGGCGTCAAACAGTGTGTCGCAACCGTAGTATCAAGCTTTGTTCCAACCGGCAGAAGTCCGCTTCAGTGGGTCCTGAGGCGCAGTAAAGCTTACAAAATAATTTAATACCGCGCCATTCTCCCCTGACCCGCAACCACGGCTTCCATCCTGTCGGGCAAGAAATCATAGAGCGCGTCCACGAGATCTGACTCAGCCCCGAAGCCACTCCCATTCACTTCATTGCTTTCCACAATTTGTGGGCAGTGGCGTGGTAGAGGGGGACGCCGTGACATGGCTACCTTGATGCGCCTCCAAATGTTTTCGATGATATTCAGATCGGCTCCTTTTGGGGGCAAAGGCAGCTTCGTCAGGCAGCTCTCCTCGAGGAGATACGAGCGTGACAACGCATTTTCCACTTTGGCGCTTTCTTGAAATGCACTGAAATGCATGTTAGCTGAAAACGTGACCATTAGGCTACACGGCACAGGAATGGTGATGGTGGTTCCGTCGGCCGATATTTTCGCTAGCAGACGGCCGGAAGAGCGCAGCGGCGCAGTGAGCGCAAGTGATAATTTATCTCGGCCTCAGGGTGCGCCGTGTTTAGGGAGCGATGCGACAGGCGGCGCAGGTAGTACCGTGCACAGGCCGGAGCGCTGTTTCAGCTCATATTGTCCGCGATAGTACATACCGTGTTACGAAGGTAATCCATACGGCGTTTATTTGAGCTCTACACTCTTAGAAAAAAGGATAGGATAGTCCTCCCTTAAGGAAGGAATGGTCTTGTAACCTATGTTCCTTTAGAAAGGGAGCAACTTTCGTCCCTGAAGCAGGGGAGCAAAGTTCCTCCGTCGCTTGCATCACAATATGGCGGCTCCGAATCGAGCAAATCGAGCCCAATAAGGCTTGACGAGGACGCTACGTCTCTTGTACGGGACGAGAGGAGCAGCAAATGTGTGTGTGTAAAACGTTTAATGAAAAAAAGAGAAGTGGTCGCACTTGCGCGTGACTTCTTTATAAAAGCGTAACACGAGCTTTCCGCGAAGTGTGTTTATTTCATCTCTAATTATGCTGCATCTGTAATTATGCTACAAAATGTGGATCTGAATATTATTTAACAAAACTTTCGGAAACATTCGCCGGCTATTTATTGTTTACGATCGCGGTGCTGGTGAGGGAGGCTCTTACCCAATAGGCGACGTGGATTCGGCTGACGTGCTGCATTTCCGCGGATGCATCGCAGTGAAAAGGCAGAGAGCTTTCGAAGGAAAGAAGGCGCAAAAGAGTTCAGTTTTCTTTTAAAAGTTCTATAGCAAATAAGTTTTTTTGTCTCCCTATTTTTGTGTTTTTGTGTTTCTTCTCACACCTTTTACGACGTGCGGCGGATGAAATTCGATTTTAAAATCATTTCATGGTCTCATTAGACTTTCAGTTGAAGTTCGGCGCTCGTTTTGTCCATTTCTCCCTTTGTATTTTATTGCGCGCTGCTACGAGTCTGTTATCACGAACCAAATCGCATGCATCGCTACATTGATTAGCTATCGAATGAAGGCTCAGAAGAGGCGCGTTTGGATAGAAGCGAATAAGCTGGCTTCCAGAAGGCGCGATTTCAGGAAACGACCACTTACCGTCTTGTTCAGTCGTGAAGTTTGTCGAGAACTCTGGACCGGGTTTGACGGTCACAGCATGTACAGAGATGATGTAGACGGTGTATGGACGTAGCTTTTCGAGGTTGACGCGCTGCGACGACATGGGCACAATTAGTTTGGTCTCGGCTTGTTCGATCACACGGCACGGGATGACCGGGCGCAGTGGTCTGTAGACGACTCCGTAATCACGAATGCGACCATTGGGCGTGGCCGGTGCTAACCAGGTGAAGCTCGCCTGCCGTGCGAAGCTTCTTGTCATCTGAAGTTGCCGAACTTCGCTGGGCGCTGCATGGAAAAAGAAATACCGCAGAAGTAACCCTCTGGTAATTCTTGTTTGTTCGTTGGCCCTTTCATTATACTCTGTTTCACTTGCACTGGACTGCTTTAAGCAAGGGCGGGTAGCTTTTGCCTGTGTCTCACAACCGTCCCAATCTCGCAGATTGTCGAGCGACTGTAAAGCGCCTAATATTCTGTGTTTATTTTTTCCAGGAGGCAGCTTTCAGGAACTCAGGGAATGATGTCACTTAAAAAACTAAGGAAGTGGCCGAAAGCTGCTGGAACGTCATATTATGCCGCCAACTCTGCGGTTCAACATCTAGTGTTCGACGCTTATCGTCCCTGCGTGGGAAGCCCCGCTGAACTTCTATACGGCAAGCAAGTATTCTAATATGCGTCTCTGGCGCATTGGGACGCCAAGAGGGACACGGGAATCAAACGGCAATAGAGAGAACGTGTAGATAAGGCGCAATGACAAGGCAGCGAAGCTCGCGCCAACATTGGTTCAAGTCGTGGGGAAACAAACGCAGGAGGTGCGCGAACAGCAGACGAACTTGCATGCCATATAGATACTAGTGAACGTACCGTCCTCAGCGGACCTGACTGTCCACAGACTCGTCCACTGACTCGATGTACCGTCGGGCGTGTCCAGACGGAGCCGAACGGTCAGCTCCGTGAAGGGACGCGTGGGCACGACGAATCGGTCGGTGGCATTCACACCGGGTTCGGTCAGGTTGAGGGACTCCGTGGTCCCGTTCACTTCCAGGGTGACGTTGGCGCTCCAGCAAAACCACGACTCTCGAGGTGGGTTCTGCACACGTGCGACGCCAAGTGCGACAAGCTTTGGAGTGCTGTTGTCCAGTAAATTAACCTCGAAAATTGCACAACCGAGCGAGCGAAGTGTACCAGCACGAACTAAACAAATATAAAATGCAAATTGCAAATTCCGCACTAAAAAAAAAAAAAAAAAAATCCGTTTGTCAAAGGTTTTTTGACGCTTTAAGAAATCTTTTAGTTTGTTAAGAACGGTTTACTCTCACGCACTATCGCCTCCTGGTGCACTAGAAAGGCAAGTGGGCGATGAAGAACTCTTTCCCATCAAAAAAGGAGCTTAAAAGCACACCTTACAGGTTTTTCACGAAGAAGACTTTTAGGGGGTGCTGAAGGGGATACTTCAACGAAATCTGAAATATACCCGTGGTGTTAAAAAATAGGTCGAATATGATCCACAATATCGGTAAATGACAATCGCACGTTTGTATTTTGAGCCTGGGTGGCTGTATTTTTCGTTATAAACGGCCCACTCTGGCAAGCGCTCGGAGAACAGCCAGCTGAGAGCACGTGACATCGGCTGCAATCGTGACGTAGTTCGTCTCGGGACGAGCAGAGCTGCGGCGAGGCTGACGTCGAGAGGATGTCGCAGTCATTCCAGCCACCGAAGTGGCTGCTTTTGTACGAATTTTGAGTGACGGGTTAATCTTCTATAATCTTGTAGGGGGACAATAGCGACTTCTGTTACACGCAAAAGAGATTCTCGGGGGAGAGGGGAGTTCCTCCTTCTTCTCTTCTCTCGTCGTGGCTGGAGGTGAGACAGTTACCGTAACTAGCTGTCAAGGTTCCTAGACGGGCATTACAAGTGAGGCGTTAGCGGCATCCACCAGGGCCCGTTTTCTCGAACCCGAACTGTGGGTTGAAGTTAACTATTGTCCCTAGAAGGGGGAATTCTAGGTCACGTTACTGGGAGAGCAGGGGCGCCGAGGGAGGAGCAGTACCTACAAGCAAAATGGCCGCGACGTCGCTTAATGAGGGCTAATAGTTCTGCTCGGTTCTGCTGAACATTAATTTCGATCTGGCTGTTATATTAATGACGCACCATCAACCTATGATCACGTCAAGCAAAGCAGTAGTTCAGAGGGACTACTAAACTAAACGACGGCAGCATTCCGCGAACGCATCACTCTTCAGCGGTCCGGGATCAAAGACATATGACGGTACATAAGCCTTGCAAGTGTTTTTATGGTGAGTAAAAAAATGTTTTGCGAACGAGTGTTGGTATATATTTAAACTAACACGTTTAATTTGTTACACTACGCACGCCAACTCGTGAGCAGCGATTACTTTGCGAAGAAAGGGGGTTATCCTCGATAAAGTCTTCGTTCCGAGTGAACAGCTGGGACATTGTACTGTTTTTTTGTTCGCAGTGCGCCGACAGAATGCCGACAGCATCGAGGTTTCTAGATATCCCCGGTGGCCAGCAATTCAACGGTGACGAGAAGCTTAGATTCTCGTCACCGGTGGATCGGTTGGGCAAACGGAGGGCAAACAAATGAGATCTGCAGGAATCGCCAAAAACCTGCATCGCAAGGAACAAAAACGAGACTACAGCACCGGCGTTGCCAGACTGGAAGGCACACGGGAAAGTTATGCGTTGTTTATGGCGAAACATATTGAAGGAAATGTTTCTTACATTTTTTAATATTCGTCGACAAAATCTACCATAGTAGCTAACATTTCTTCGTACCATCTGAAGCAAATAAATTGGTCTTCAAGTACAACATTGCTATATTTTGACTTAAAATTCCATACTAGATCAATAACAACCAGCGGAAAAAGAGGATAAACAAAATGACTGGCTTGTTTCACCGATAGATGGCGCATCTTACTGCCCAATCAAAAATAATTATTGTTGTTCTATATCCAGCCGTTTATTACAGTACCTAGGTACTTTTTCCTTCCTAGGCACCGTGGTTTACCAAAATGGGTTTGCCATCGCTTCGAGGAAACCGGCCCAGGTGCTTTTTGCTAATCGTTTTATTCGTTTTAAAATTCTTTTTCGTGTCTTTTGTAACAAGATATTGGTTTGTCCGATACGACACTGCTCCTTGGAACACATATAGACCAAAAAATAAGCGCCGAAGTTTCGTTGTAGTATCCAAATTATGGATAAGCCGAAGAACCCCAAAGTTTTTTTTCTTTTACGTCCAGATTTTTTTTTTCTGCAGAAGCCGTAACATTGTTGCGGGCTGTGTGACGTCACCATTGATGTTTTGCGGTTTCCGGAGTCGCAGAGGCAGGGCAGTTTTTTTTTTCGCCTCTCTGTTGCCCCGCCAACGCTTTCAAAATCAAACCATAAGTATTCGGGAGTTCCACTCTACTTTTGTGTCGTGTCGCAAACGCAAAAAAAAAAAACAAAAAAAAACGTGGTCGCCTTTTTGTGTGACCAGCTCGGCTAGCTCTCCAAACCTTCCAAAGTGAACCGCAAAATTAACGAGTTTTCGTAGGCTATTTTCCCACCTCCACTACGCTCTCCGGGACGAAGACTCCACTACTGCGCATGAGCGGCGTTAGCCTTGCCAGCAGAGTCCCGGATATCATAGCGGGTTGCGGGAAAATGTTGCGGGACAATAGAAACGATCTACGAAAACTCTCTATTATATTGTTTCTTACGTCTCTCAACGCTCTCCGCAACTCGCTACGACTAGCGGCGTCTTCGTTGCCGAGAGCGTTGCGGAGCAGGGAAAACGATTTACGAAAACTCCTCACTGCCTCTCGCAACGGGTAGTGGAAGTTGCGAGTGCTTCGCGGTTTCTGTGTCCCGCAGTCAGCAACCCACAATCTGATTTAGTTTGAACCAGCCTTCAGTCTCCTCCGGTATTTCTTAAGGCGGTGAACCAATTTTCAAGTATTACGGCTTCTGGCCTGAACAAAGCTTACAAAAAGAATCAAGGTGAAGATCTGTCTAAAAAAACACATGCAAAAAAAGATTTACATTAAATGCATGGAAAGAAATGGACAGCAGGATAACAGGGACGAAGGGAGGAACGAGATGGACATTCAAGTGCCGACTTTCAAGGGTAATCACACGGGGGAGAAATCCTTATTTTTGATTCCAGGGATGCGCATCACGCGGCAACAACGTTACGCTTTTGCGCGGAGCCGCGCTGGACGTCAATGGAGGATAGGGGAGCTTTTGCTCGGGCTCCACAAACACGCCCCCGCCTTGTCGTGGGATCTATTAGAGGCGAAGCTCCTTAGGGTCTAGCCTTGTCCGTCCGGCGTCCGTGCTCACATCGATCTGGCTGGTGCTCGTGCTCGTGCTCGTGCTCCTGAGCTCACGTACTCACGTGCTCGTGTAGGGCAAAAAATAAAAATAAAATGATGAAAAAAAATGTTAACGCAGTCGAAAGGATTCAAACCTGTGCGGGGAGGCCCCAATAGATTTCTAGTCCATCGCCTTAAACACTCGGCCACGACTGCGGGACGAGTAGGGGGCTCTGAGATGTGGTAGTAACTCAAGAGCTGGGGATGTCATGGATGAAACGTTGCATGTAGCCGCTCAGCGTCTATACAGGAGAGGGCGCTGCGTTCAAATGCGAATATAATCGCGTTAAACTTTGCATGCATTGGCTCAACGTTTATAGATGAGAGGGCGCTGCGGTCAAATGCTCAAATGCGTATATAACCACGTTCCATACCACACATTCTCTTTCTGACATGGATGAAAACGAACGAAAGGCTCGGCATTCTGCGGCTCGCCGTCTACGCAGACAAGCACCACCAGAGCTTCGCCCCAATCAACATCATTCACCACGCGAAGATGCGATCAATGTTTTTGCAATAGACCCTTCCCGAAATTCAGTGCCATCTGGTGGCTATAATGGCAGTTTAACATTTGCCGTACTAATGGCGGCAATGAAAATGTAGTCTGCCATATTTTATGGGGCGCCGTCACTTTAGCAAGTCAATAGCAAATGACAGTGTGCGCTTCACTATACATTTCCTTCTCGACATCTTTTAGTGACAATAGAAACGAAGATGCAACTAGTCAGAACGAAACGTCAACCCACGTACACGGCTTGATAAAGTTATACAAATCAATGGCCTTGGAGCACCTTGATGCTACCAACAAATTGATTGGGCCCGAGCTTGAAATGAACACTTACGCAGATCGTGCTTTCAGTTCCTGCTTCATATCGTACTAACGTCGCGAATGTATAAGCCTCGAATTATCTGCGGAGGAGCATCTTCAACTTCTTCCTTCATCAGTAAACAGAAGGCCGCCATTAGTACGGCACAAATGCCATTTTTCAGATGATGATAGTGATCAAAGTGGCCAGACTGAATTTCGGAAAGGGTCTATTGGCGGTATTTGGTTCGCGTGTCTGGCAAACTTACAGATTTTGCTCAGCGGTATACTGGCAGTAACATCGGGATCGCCTAAATTGTTGTGACTTGCGCTGCTTGCGCGTGTCGGCCGAGGCAACCGAAAGAATCTTCGATATTCATCAATTGGCAACTTTCAGCGATGGTGGTACCACGGTGTGAGAAACGAGCTCCCCAGCTCCTGGATGATTGGCTTCAAATTAAATGTGCTTGGTTACACCTCCTGACGCGGAAGTATGACCGTAAGGCTCTCATATCACTCGTATTTCCCAAAATTAGAATTACATCAGCTTCACAGACTGAACCTCGTTCAGCAGTTCTACGATATAATCATCCAGATCAGAGCCATTTTCATAGGAACTAGAGCGGCCCCTATAGGCTGTAAAAGTTGCGAATGTCGTCCTCAAGCGCTCTTCATACAACTGTTTTTCGACACGTCCTTTGCGTTGCATCCAACCATTCAAGAAGCATCTTTCTTTTAGCCGGAAGCAGTTCGTCGTCTTGCGAATCTAACAGCGCTGCAGCAGTAATAGCTTATCGTCGTTTCATGTGCGCCTCCACTTTTCTACTCTCGTCAGCGCGTACTGAGCCCTGTTGTCGAGAGTGCGACCACTCAATGCGTCTGATAACACTGATATCCCTTCGATTATTTTAGGCAATGACCGTAATCTAGGTGAATACAATATTGTAGGTAACATTTCTCCACGTGAAGCTTGAGTAGGTCTTGATCGAGGACAGCTTAAACTCGGGATTTTTTGGTTCCCTCCAGATTCATAAAGCAAACTCGGGTGTTGCATCTTAGATGTTCTTTTCTCTTTTTTGTTTTGTCAGTACACACTGGAAACACAATATTATAATGATCACAAATAGTGTACACTCTAAAACAGCTGGAGCGTCTACCTCACCGCAAAGCAGTTGAGAGAGTCAATCACCACAATCTACGGCGGGAGCTTGGCGAATGACAAGGCTGCCTCCAGATTTCTTAGAGGCGAGAGCCGTTTCTACTGCGACATGAGAGAGTTGGGCAATATGTTGAGCATGCAGATAGTCTCCAGCTACTGCAGGCTCAAGAAACGCAGGGCGTGGCCTACTATGTTCGCACTCCTTGCTTCGTCATTTGTCCTCCGGCTTTCTTATCAACAAATGCCGCCATCTCAGTGGCTGGGGAATGCGTAATGGTGGCGTTATTGCCGCACTCAGCCAACTGTGTACCCTAAACTCTAGAAAAAAAAAATGTTCGTGAGTTTATTTTTCAGCAAAACATGAAGAGAGCCAATAACGGCTTAAAATACAAGAACTTGAACAAACGACGAAACTCTAAATACGATTAGATTTGAAAAATCCTATGTGAGCATGGGCAGTGAGCAACTGAAGCATCAAGACTCGTTCACACAGTTTCGTCGACTGCGTTGCGCTGCGTTGCGTCGTACAGCACAGCGCCTCCCCATTGGATCGTCGTAAGGGTCGCCATGGCAACATCTCGACGCAAGCAGTCTTAACGAGGCGCAAGTGGTTGCACACGCACTGGAAAGCAACTGAGCGAACGAGCCTTCATCGTGATTCGCATCGCTTTTTTCAGATATGAGCTCATTTTGAGCTTCGTCATTTGCTGGGATCCTTCTTTTGGTCGTTGTTATTGGCTGCTTCCCCGTTCTTCCAAAAAATTAACTGACGGCCATTCTTTTTACAGTGCACGTTTGGAATGTAGGAATGAAATAAACGCGCATGGGGGGGGGGGGGGGGGGCTTTACGCGCCATATGTTCCATCAGTCACCTCCTTCTGTGGTAAACTTAAGAGTTGTCCGCGTGTGACACAGTATACAGAACTAGGAACTCACCTCCCACGTTATTAGTACGCTGTCAGCGCTGGAGTTGTCAATCTTGACGCTATTTGGAGGAGATGTGGGCCCTGCAATCGGAGCACCTCATTTACAATAAATGGTGACGCACAAAGAAAGAATTAAAGCTCGGACGCTTTGCACCCTTTAAATTTTAACAAAAAACGCTGAGATACAGAAATACACGCGCGACGTACAAATAACTGAAACTGGAAAGAGGGGAAGAACAAAGGGCGGACCATTTTTTTTTTTCTGCTTGTAGATGAATATCTTCAGTCGCGCTGTAAGTTTGAGCAAAATTATTATGCTTACAAAGCTAGGGTAGTAATAGACCGAGCTCACCAGGAGTTGCGCGACGCCATCGCTGCCGCGGTGCATTCTGGTACCTGTAGTTTTCCTCAGTTTTCCGGCCGCGCCAATGCACAATGTACGCCCGGCGTTTTGAAATTTTCGGGTTAGCACGAGACTTTTAGCCGGGTGTTTACTCATGGTTTTCAATGGATGGCTTCACCTGTTCTATGCTACGGTGCTATAGGTACAGAACGAGGCAAAAAGGCCTGGGATATTATGTCTTCCCAAAAGAAAGCAGCATGGCATAGAAGGGTAAACAGAGCCGGACAGAGCGGCAGGAAAAATAGCGTTTTTCAAATTGCTTTGCGATTTGATTCATAATTTATATCCACCCTATTGCACGTCAGCTAAAATGTGTAAGGTTACAGGGCACGAGACATAGAGCGTTCCTAAAGTGTTCCGTACGTTGGAATATCTCTGAGCACTCGCTCCGTAGCGGATTATCCTCTGGTCTGTCTCGAATGGGACCTCCACACTGCTTTGCGGAGGCCGTTTTTGATACACTTTTTGCTTGATTTATTTTGGTGGTTATAACTGTTATTGCGACGACATTTTTCAAGCACACCCGTGCTTCAAAAAATCAGAACAATTCCTAAAAAAAAAAACAGCAGCGATTCCCGATATGCATCACTTGAAATAAAACAACTTTTTGGGAAGCAGTCTTCATTTTTTTTTTATACAAAACGGGAAAATACCACATATTGAAATTTATAAGCTCAACACTTACTGCCAAAAATGCAAAAAACGAACCTTATCTATTTTGCGGTGGTCTATTAGGCTGACGTTACTGATCCGTTCTGCATTAACGCCAATCGAGACCGCCGTAAAAGCTTCCACCGTAGGGCGACTGTTAGCGTTCGGAGCTTCCGCAAAAGAAATAAAACTGAATAGAAACTGTTCACGAAAGACCATCTACACCCCAAGTTTTCAGGTATCTGGTATGGTTGCTTCTTTTTCACAGATGCCAATTTTTACGGCGCGTTAGGCATGGCCTAACACGCCGTGTTCAGATGTGGATCATTTCTTCTTTGTGTGCAGGCTTCTCCCCGCAGTTCATCTGTACCCTGTCGCACAGGCTGTCAACCATAATGAAATAACTTCTAGAAAACTGTCGCTCACCAAGAAAGTCTACTTAGCTCCTCTTGCTTTAATGTTGATTAAACGTTATGCACAAGACTGAGCACTACCAAGCTCAGGTTTTCACCAACATGCACATTTGATGCAGTTCCACGGTGCTACACCATGAGCCGATGGTCGGGGGACAATCAGCTCGATGGTCCCTCGAATTTTCTTGTTCTTTGCATTGCACTCGATGTTCACTTGTTTCCGAGTTAATTGAGACCTCCGAGCAGGCGGAATGCTCCAGTAGTGGCGTCGTTGTCTTTTCCCCGCGGCCGCAGTGGGACCACCGCGTGAACCGCAGTGAGCTCACGCGTTCACGAAGACGAAGAAGCAGACGACGGCGAAAACACTGGGTTGTGTATATGTTTATACAGCCTAAAACTTGGTCTGCCTCAACAGGCGACGAGTCTTCCTCCCTGCTGTAGATGAGCAATTTATCCAGTGCAGTACAACCGCTAGCCTGGGCTCTATAACGTGCACCACGCAGTAATGGTACACGACCGCACGCCGGTACGATGCTCATCCAGATCGAAACGGGCAGGGGTGGGGATTCAACCCAGGATTACAGTGTTCCAGGATTCTGGGTACTGCAGCGCGAGCTTTCGCTCCACGTGCTCCGAGCTGGTGTGCGCTAACCGCCTCGGCAACCGATCCCCCCGGACGACGACGACGCAGACGACAAAGCGATTATAAAGCGATAAGACGACTGGAACTACTTTTCTGCGCTTGTTGACAAACTAAGGCATCACAAACAAAACATCTTATGAGGTACAGACATGCAGGAGAATCCAAGCTGATACCGAGGCGTCCAAGCGATAATCTACGATGACGTACGCGCAGCCCTTTGTAGCCGGGAAGCTCGAAATGGGGGACAACAAGTAGCATGGCGGCGGCACAACTTCCGGAATGCGCGCGCCTGCGCAGTTCGCTTGGTGACATCGGTCTATTTTGTTTTGGGTTTGCTCATTCAGCCGGACGTTCACTGGTGGCCGTCGCTGTGTGCGCAACTGCTAGACCGTGCTGATGGCGAGCTTCCACTGTTCAATAGTGACAGATGTGCCAGTTGGAACATGACTTATTTTCACAAAATGCGCCGCAAGACAAGGACAGAGTAAGTGAGACAACACGAAGCGCTTCGTGTTGTCTCACTTACTCTGTCCTTGTCTTGCGGCGCATTTTGTGAAAATATTCCACAGTTCTTTTGCAACGTGCATATTTCACATCATCAAAATTGGCTGTCTATAGTAGCCTATTAATGTGAGCTCGTTCTGAGCATGCCCTCTAAATAGCGCCCTCAAATAATGCGTCCTATCATAGCCTCCTCTATACTGACAAAGCCTGGCAGATTGTCACGTGACGCGGCCGCCGAAAGTGAAAAGGTAGAGCGGCAGACTATGATGATGATGATGATGATTTTATGGCTGTTCCCTTTGAAGCGGGCGGTTTGGATAGAAACCAGACCTAGCCGAATAAAAACGGAGAGAAAAAAAATTGCACTACTGTAGCATTCTTCGCCACCAGTCCTCCAGCCTCCTTTTAGTCCTCTCGACTGCGTCGCTGCACCTCCAGCCGGGCTGCAGTGCCACTGCAGCGCCATTTAAGTCCGCACTGGGCCAGCACACAGCATCCCTGCCTGTGTCCCCAACTCGGAAGCCAAGGGCTTCTGCCAGAAATTGTTCGTGTGAATGTGCCTCGTCTAGATGCAGCCCGTTGTCTGGCGCCTGGCCCCAATCCGCCGGGTGTCTTGGTACGAGACTTGGGCAGGAGAGCACAATATGCTTGATAGTTTCCTCGGTTTCGCCACATGCCCGGCATGATGTTGATTGTACCTGTTGGTCAAAACGCTGCCTGTACACTAGCGTTCTTAGCCCTCCCGCACGTGCTTCAAAAAGCAGGCGGCTGCCCAGGCTATTATCATACAGGGTTGTCTCTGTCGATATTTCATTTTTCCAGCGGTTGTACACTTGCAGGGTTGACTTTGAGCGGGCCGCCTCCGACCACTGCACAGCCTCTTCCTCGCGCACTCTCTTCCGCACCTCCAGTTCCCACTTTTGCTCTGTAGTGGCAGCCAAGGGCACAGTAAAGAAGCCATATTTCTTTTCCAGCTGGTACAGTCGCTTTCTCCACTTTGTCTGCATCCCTGTCAGGTGTATGTACACAAATAGTCGTTTGGCCCACCGTCCTCGGTCCATGAGTCGCAGACGCCCGTCGTAGTCGATCTTGCTAGCTGCTTCTCTGGCTTCAAACGATGACCATCCAAGATCTCCTTGGACAGCTTCGTTCGCCACCATGCCATGGCAGCCTAGGGCCTGCCTCCCAACTTCGCGCTGCCGGCGCTCCAGAATGTCCCTCACGTCTCCAGGAATGCACACAACAGCATTAGCAAACGTTAGGCCAGGGACCATGGCTGCTTTCCAGGGTTCCCTTGTAACCAGAAATCGATTGCAGCTCCGTAGGTTGTGCTTGCGAAGGACACTGGTGTTTCGCACGGCCGTCTTTCTGACGTGGAGATGGTGTTCCGCTAGGTATTCTGGCTTATTTGTGAGTAGAATACCCAGGTACTTATAGGTGCCTTGCAGGGGGATTCGTTCGCCCTTCAGCACGCAGTGACCAAGACGCGGCTCTTCAGGTCCGGCTAGTTGCACGACTGCCGACTTTTTGCTGTTGAAGCGAAGGCAGCGCGCATCCGCCTCTTCTACACAAATGACTAAAAGCTGCTGTAGTGACTACACTTTCCGCTGTAAGTACGATGTCATCCGCAAAGGTGAGACTTGGTAGCGTCCAGTTCACTGGCTCTCCTTTTTCTAAATGGGTGAAAGAGAATCCTACCCCGACTGGAGCAAGCGCCTGTCTAGCCCCGACACATAGAGGATGTATAAGAGAGGAGAAAGCGGACAGCCTTGTCGTAGACCTCTTGTTACAGTCACTTGCTCCGATTTGGCACCATTCATCTCTGTTGTCACCGCGTTGCCCGAATACAGACATCGGACGAGGGCCAACCACTGCCGTGGCATGTCTAACTGTTCTAGGTGCTGGAGCAATAACTCGTGAGGTACACTGTCGTAAGCTTTCGCAATGTCAAGGAAGCAGCACAGGAGTTTTCTTCCTTCCTTGCGGGCGACCTCAATACACTGGGTGATAGTAAAAATGTTGTCCTCCAGTCGGCGACCCCGACGGAAGCCTCCCTGCAGCTCCGTTAACACCCCATTCTCCTCTGCCCATGCTGCCATGTAATCTTTCACTATATGTGCGAAGGCTCTGTAGATGGTGGAAGTCACTGTAAGTGGCCGATAGTCCTGAAGATGTTGTCGGTTGCCTCCCTTCTTAGGGACCAAGACAACCCGACCAAGCCTCCAGTCTTGGGGCACGGGTTCTGAGCCACTGAAGATTGCACTGAAGATCTCTACCATCTGCTGCCTTGTCTTCGTTCCCATCGATTTAAGAATCGAAGCCGGAATCCCGTCCAGGCCCGGAGACGTAGACGTCTTCAAATGCGCGAAGGCCCGTAAGACTGTCACCCACCTGATGACCTCCTCCTGCGAGTGTTCTGCTGTGTGTAGCGTCGGTTGAGAGGATGTATCCTCTTCGGTGGTAAAGTTCTCCCTCAGGTAATCCGAGAGGTGGGTGCCAAGGTTGCTAGGTTCCTCCCCTGTGCTTTCGTCAATAATGGCTGCTTCCTGGTCTCTACCATCCAACGTTCCGAGGTAGGCCCAGAACTTCCTCGGTGCGTCCCTGCCGCTGCATCTAATGTCCCGGACAGTGGCCAGATCCGCAGTCCTTATCTTCGGTTGAACCAACTGTTTAGCACTGTTTTTCAGTACTTGATAACTGTGCCATTTTTTGTCAATCTCGTGTGTCTCTCCTGTACGGAGCGCCATTCGGTGATGCAGGTTAGCATCCTGCCGGGCATGGATGGCTGCCTTGACCTCACCATCCCACCATCTCTTACGTCGTCTGCGTCCAGCGAGCCTTTTTGGTCGTGTCGCTTAATCAGGTCTTTAAGCACTGTGATGTAGGCTTGATATCCAGTCGCCTGTTTCCTGCTTTTACTGTTCTCAAATGTCTCCATGATAGTCGCCACTGTCCGCTTGCTCAAATAAGTTCGCCGTGGGCGTTGATATCGTTCCTGTGTCTTTTTCCAAGTGGCCTTACTGAAGTCCAACCTGAGGCGATTATGATCACTGCCAAGGCTGTGCTCGCCGCCCTCGTCTATCAAAACTCGAGCAATGCTTTTCCCGAGACGGTGAGACGCTAAAGGATAATCAATACAGGTTTTGCTTCCTCGAGCGCACCATGTGAACTGTCCCTCACATGTTGACCGCAGGTTGAGTACCTCAAGTTGCAGCTCTTCCGCTAGCCATAGGAGCCGCCGCCCATTACTGTCCTCCCACCCGTCCAACTCACCAAGATGGCCGTTGAAATCTCCCATGATCAAAATATTCTTACCGACGCCGAGGGCCTTCGCATCACTGGCAATACATGTCACACTCGCTTAGTTCTCATCCTCCCGCGCACTTCCCACAGCAAGATAAACCACGCACACTGCCACTGGATACTGTAACAGTTCTCCTGTCACCCAGATGTGGCCTTGGCAGGTCTTGTTTTCCCTCTGCCAGGATGCCGAGCTGCGGCATAGGATTCCTACTCCCCCTCCTTTTCGCTGACCTTCCTGCCGGTTGCACCCGGTCCACTGCCAGTCCGGGTGAATAGGCGGTTCCTCAAGGTCACGAAGGTGTGTCTCTGCAACCCCAAAAAGCACGATGCTCTCAGTGTCCATTACTTGATAGAGCTCCTGCCATTTCTGCTCCCGTCTTGCTCCCTTGAGGTTGAGAAACCCAACTCTTTCCGTCACCGTGTTTTGGTGTTTCCGCCGTCTTCTCCTCACAACTCGGCCCTTCACTAGATCACCGTCATTACAGCGTCTGGGTTGTCTTACTCCTGTCCGGTGGTCTCCAGCTGCCTCCGAACAGTCTGTGCCACCATGGCCTGTATCCATGGGGGTGGGTCCAGTGGATAGCACCCTGGTATACTCGAGTTGGGCACAAACGGGTATAGTCCCATATTCATTTGCCGTGGGTTCGGCATCGCCACCCATGGTGGGTCCATCCAAGTTGATGGTGGCATTTGTCTGAGATGGAGGCACGTCGGTACCGGGACCGCTGGGGTTCTTTCTCTGGATGGTGCTAATTCCCGCATGAGAGACTTCTTTTCTGGGAGCGCGCTCCCCTGCATTGTGGCGCATTCCATGATTGGCCGCACCACTTGACCCCTGGTGTCCGACTTGAATCTCGGCCGGGGGGGGGTATCCCATCCAGGTCTCTCTGGACGGCGACGGAGCTTCCGGTCTGCTGTCGTGCACCTGACTTCCTTCCAGGCCTCGGCGAAGTACCTGGTGGTGTACTACTTCTTCTGTATTTTGTGTCAGGCTTTTTCCGTCCAACTGCTTGGGATACCAATGACCTCCTGTGTTGCTTCTCCTCTTCCTCCGTTCGCCTAAAAAAGTTTCCGCGACTTCTGCTAAACGGCCCGTCACCACGTGGGTACCTTCTTTATTGTAATGCAGCCCGTCCTTCTTTATTGTGGCTGTGATCGCTAGGTCCCGAGTTAGGTCCACATATTTGGCTCGTATTTTTTTGCACATTTTTTTGAGCCCGTTACATGACTATAGTCATGTAACGGGCGCCCCGCTGCGGCGACACGCCGAAACACACTCGTCCCGAGCGATGGAATGTCCGCTCGTGCTTCTCATGTTCCTCGGGCTACCGCTTCGTTTCCCGTTGGGTTTGAAAACAATGTTTCGGGTCCTCACGGCTGCAGAAGCTGTGCGCTGAACACCAGGTTTTGCGAGAAATGCTCCGTGCTACCAGATTCACGCGCTCCAAATCTGCGACCAGGCACTCTATGGCTCCTTCATCGAACTGCCAGGCTTTGTGAGTATAGAGGAGGCTATGGTCCTATACATGTTTTGAGACAGCTGTGCATGGGCGCCGCCATAACAGCCCTTCAATTTTTGTTTCCTCTTATTTTGTTCGGTTCACTTCATCATTGCCACTTTAGGTGCTACTGCGTCCATCTCCCCACCTTAGGCCTTTGCGGAGGCTAGTCAATTCCCGCTTCAGTGGCTCGGCATCTCAGTAAGATAGAAGGTCAACAAGGGCGGCTCAGTCTGGCGCGTGTTTAAAGTGTCTATACTTCGTCTCACCTTAGCATAGACTATTGTTAGCCGCGCATGCTAAAAGCGCAAGCAACTTGCTTTGGATGAAGCCTCGGCGACTGCACGAGCGCTCGTGCAGCAAGTGCTCCAGTCAAGGCAGTCAGGTCTAGCCTCTCGCGCTTGCACAGCCTTCGCAGTTAGCCCATAATAAGGTGAGACGAAGTATAGTCAGCCCCATGGGCGTTTGGTCTGTCCGTTCTAGACAAGAAATTTAGCCAATGCAGTGTACCACTGCTATACTTTGTTTCACCTTATCATGTACCGCAGGAAAGGCTACAAGCGCGAGCTCCTTGCTCTAGGGCACATCTCGGCGGCACAAGCTCTCGTAAGTTAAGAGTAGCTCCCAACGCTATGAGCTCGCGCTTCTAGTCTTGTCTGCGGTGCAAAATAAGGTGAAACGGAGTATAGCCTGGGGTCTTCAACGTGCACCGCACACCGGTGATACACGACCGCATGCCGGTAAGATGCTGAACCAGATCGGAACGGGCAGGATACCACTGCTAGCCTGGGGTCATTGAACTCAGGCTCCCTGGAATCTTCAGCACGAGCTTGTTTGCCAAAGCCTAAAATAGGTCCTTCTAGGAGATAATTCGGAGCATCCTTTTTCTTAGTTTCGTTCCACGAGTTCCAATACGTCAGCCTACAGCGTTGAGTGAGAAAGCGCGCTCTTCAACCGCGGTTCCCTGCATATTCATCGCCCTCATGTTTGTGACATGACGCCGAGACGGTGGCGCTGCCTGTGGAACGGCGCATGTGCAGATGCTTTACTAGAAAAAAAAGGCTACTCGTGGGCACTGCTACAGTGCCCATGCTGCAATCCCCAGCTATTCTTGGACATACCCAATTGCTTATTTATTTATTTCTCGACACCTCAAATCTAGAAGAGAAGCATGAATAAAGTAGAAAGAAAGAGAAGAAAGAGAGTGAGAGAGAGTATGTGTGTGTGAGAGAGAGAAAGAAAGAAAGGGAGAGAGATAAAAAAGGAGATAGAGGCAAAAACAGACAAAGAAGGAAGGGCAAGTTCCTTTTTTTGCCCCTGCATTCAGCTTCCCCGATGACGATGATTTTATTCTCCCTGCACCTGGCATCGGAGCGAACAAGAAATACAGCGGTGAAAACTCGTTCGCTCAATTCACCAGGACGTAGAAAAATATAGAGAAAAATTTAAAAAAATGCATTGTATATTTGAATATGATTTTACGTCCTAAGGTTCTACAGCACAGAAATAGCGTCTGTGCTGTAGGACCTCGTGCATGCCGAAGCCCAGACTCGTAATGCTAGTGCTTTTGAAAAGAGGCGGCGATGCTGTTTCACGTTTATAACGATAGCAACTCATCGACTTTCTTGTTAAAGAAAAAGAAAGAAAAGGCCCTTACTTCCGCAAACAGTTCGAAATTTTGTGGTCAGCGAGCCTGTTTCCTGAAACTTTCCGTCGGAGTCAATGACCAGCACCCGGACTTCGTAAGCGCCACCGATGCGTAAACCAGTCAGCGTTCTTGAGTACTTGGGAGCCTTGGGCACGGCCACCACGACCACTTTGTCCCAGGACTGTTTCAACTTCTGTAAGAGAGAGAAAAATTCCCGGTTCCCTGCCGTGACCTGCAAATGAACTGCGGCGATAGCCGAGGCGCTGCACACTTCTGGACACAGTTGCTCTGCGCCGTTTAGCGTTTGCGCGATTATGTCCCGTTAAATTTAGCGGATAGCGTCCATCTGACACTTTGACGTCCCGTGACACTTTTGCAAGTTTAACCCCATGTTGCAGTAGAGAAAACTTGGTTCATATTGAGAGCTATATAAAAACATACTTTTCGTGTAAGGCTCGTCAAAATATTAAAAAAAAATGATGCCGAAGTCGCTGCTGTCGCTACGCCAATTCTCGACGAAATGCGTAAGCACTTAGCGCGGGAGTTCCGACTTGGCGAAGGGTGGGAATTCCAACCTCGCAACGGTCCGCATACTGTTGTCTTCGGAGAGTCCGTCCGTCTGCTCTTCCGTGCGTCGGCGCTTTCGGATGCAGCCACCCTATCTTCCCTCGATCGCCGCCTACGGTCCGCATAGCTCACGTTAGTGCGGAGCGCAAGTTCGTCTGCTTCTTGCATGATGTCAGAACGCCGAGCTCTTATTGGCTGATTGAAAAAAATACTGGGTGGACCTCAAGGCATCTAGCACTGATTTCCACCATCCTTCCAATCAAAGCCAATCGGAACTCGGCGTCGTTCTAACGTCACCGCAACCCCTGCGCAAGAAACAAACGACTTGCTCTCCGCATAGGTTGCTAAGACCGCCAGTCTTGATGGTGTGGAATCCACGTTTCAAAATAACCGCGGAAGCTCGCCGTCAGCACGTGCTCAGCAGTTGCACAACATCTATGGCCGCCAGTGAATATTCCCTATGTCAGACGCAGTCTTTGGAATGCCCTCTGCTAAAGTGAACGATAATAAATTTTTCCCGAGCGAAGCGAGGGGATACCGCGCATAGTCAAGACCCACTAGAAGACAAGGCCTGAGCATTACGTCATCGTCAGTGGATCCCCGATCCGCCCCAAGCGGCAAACACGCTCGACGAGAGTCCATCTTGGCGTCGCCGTATGCTAACGTCGCGCTCATTCTGAGACGCTGTAAGACGCGCTGGCGGCGATGCTGAGGCAAGCTAGGCGGCGCCACCTAGAGCCACTACCCTATTGGAAAAACCAGCATGAAAATCTAACTGGGCAAGCTGGTAACTAAGCTGGTCAAACTGGTCAATGTGGTAGTCAAACTGGTTTAACTGACAATCAAGCTGGTTTAAGCTGGGCAAAGCTAGAATTTGAGCTGGTCAGTCTGGTTTAGAGGGGTACTCCGGCCGTTTTTTGAGTTACCCAAACAAATAGCATTTTCTGACTAACCGGACTTTAGTCGTCACGGTATGCTATTTATTTTCTCGAAATTCTAAATAGCAATTGAGAAAACTGTAAATGAAGACGATGCCGAAACCAACATTCAAATTTTCGCGCTGTCCAGTGGTGTGACGTCACAAATGGTACAGACTTTCAGGTCGTACATGTAGTCTCAAACAGAGTATGTCGAGTGTTTTTTGCGTGCTTCTCAGTGAATCAGTTACCAAACATTCTTTTCTCACCATCAAACGTCTTGTAATCAGTTGGGAACATGGCTTACTACCCACTTTGTACCATTCCTGTCGTCACACTTCATTGTTGCCAGTAGGTGCTCCCGGTTTGAGAAACACGATGAAAACGAAATTTGAAAATTCAAGAACTTACGCGAATTTTTTTTTCTTTCCACACAATACTTGGGGAACTGGTAGAGCCATGTCTATGGGTGTGTTGAGCCAATTTTGGGGCCAATCAGCGACCATGAAAAAATCGCCGGAGTACCCTTCTAAGTAAAAACCAGCATGGACTAACTAGAATATTGTTTTAGACTCAATCTGGTGTAGCTGGGAGCTAGTATGGTCCTAACTGGTCGAAATAGTCAATCTGGTTTTCCATGGAGCCATGTGGTCAAGCTGGGAGACAAGCTGGTCAAGCTGGGAGACAAGCTGTTAAACTGGTCGAACTCATAATCGTGGTGGTCAAGCTGGTCTTGCTGGGAGAGCGCACGCGAAGCTCGGTTAGAGATGGTCGAACTGGCATTGCTGGGAGGGAGCGTCAAGGTCGGCTTACGCTGGGACGAGGCCACGTCCTGTTCTTTGTCCTCTCGTTTTTGGTAGACGACCGGGCGCTTGCGCGCTGCCAGCTGCCTTTGTGTGCGAGAAAAGAGAGAGAGGGAGGTAGGAACGGAGAATATGAGACACGTTTGGCTATCTTGGGCAGATTTTCGAAGGGACGGCTGTGTGCGCGTTGTTTGGAGACTACTTGAACGACGGTGCAACTGAAGCGGGATTTGAGGAGACAGCGAGCGCGGCAGTCCGTTTAGCCTGGGAAGAAGTCGGATGCCCCGACTGAGGCGTCGCTTCGTGTCTTTGAACGTGTGTGTGCTCCTGAATGACGGTGGTGCCGAGGATTTTTGCCAATGCCATCCAAGCCACACGGATGTCCTCGCCTCTGTTAACTACGCGAGAGGCCGCTTCGTCCCCATTACTGGCGGGAACCGGGTTCGCTTCTCTCATCCGTGGAGTATTTTCTTCTGTTTTTCGCGTTTCCAGTATATTTTTTTTAGTTGAGAGATAAGCAATTTAGTTTTAATAACATTGTTTGTTTTGCACCGAGAACCACTGTCTGTGCGTCCGTTGTACTTTGTCACCGCCAAGGATATGTAGCATCTGAGCTCATCTGAGCAGGCCGCAAGTACAAAAATAATAAATTGGATGCCGAGTTGGCTTTTCCAAAGAGCTTGGCTTGTTTATCCTGTGTATTAATTTAAACAGGTTAAACTGGTCGGCAAGTCCATCAGTATGACCAGTTTAACCAGCATGCTGAACTGGGCATGGTGGGGCAATAACCCAGCTTGAAGCTGGGACCAGATCAACCAGCATGACCAGTTTCCCAAACTGGGCATGCTGGCGCAATAACCCAGCTTGGAGCTGGAACAAGATCAACCAGCATGACGAGTATAACCAGATCAACCAGCATGACCAGTATGACTAGATCGATCAGCATGACCAGCATGCCAAACTGAGCATGTTGGGGCAATAACCCAGCTTGAAGCTGGGAGCAGGGCCCGTTTGCTTGAAGCGCTAACCGCGGCTAAAGCTAGCCGCAGTGCCTAGGAGAGGGATTTTAAAATCACGTGACTGGCTTGGTAGGGATGCGGGGAAACATGGCGGTGCACCGGTGAGTGAGCGTCGCTCGCCTTGGAAATAATATGTCGTTGTAACTACAATATCGGGCGCGTTAGTCAGCAACGAATGGTGCAGGTGAGTTTCGCTTTGCCTTGCCTCACTTAAATCGCAAAGCAAGAGCAATAACCTCACAGCATTTTTTAGATAGTCTTTCGATTCTGGCCATTCCTAAGCCTAAATGAACGCGATAATTGTCGGCATGGCAATCGGCCTGGTATTGATAGCACGCAAACGCAGACAGCGTCCCAATAGACCTTTTTCTAAATTTGCTAAGCACCGGGGTGCATGCTACGAGTGTATTTACACGCGTTGCACGTGCTGGCTAGAGTCACTAAATAAGCTACGCTTTCAGAGTACCGCATTCCTTTTCTTTTTCATTTTGCCGACAATACAGTCTCCCTATTCAACAATATTCTGGTTCGCTGCGGCATCATTGGACAGCGGCAGTCACGTGAGTCGCTATCATCATCATCGCATTTTTTCAACACCACCATCTTGGGTCCAGCGATTCGCTGCCTGCTGCTGTTTTACTGTTTACTGCGCGCGCACGCTGAATTTCGTCGCTCAGCATGCATTTTTTCCTTCTTTATAGCCGCGGTTAGAGCTTTGAGCAAACGGGCTCAGCTTAAGCTGTTTTTTTTTTTATTCAATAGGGTAGTGATGACGATTGAGGGGAAAAGGCACAGGCCTGTTTTATGAGCATGGTATTGGCGTAGCGGGGTCTGTTTGAAAGCATAGCTTGGAGCCGAACCTATGCGGAGCGCAAGTTCGTCTGCTTCTTTAGCAGCGGTTGCGGTGAAGTCAGAGCAACGAGCTCTGACTGGCTCCGATTAAAGGATAGTGGGTAGACGGCAAGGCAGCTAGCATTGAGGTCTACCCTCTATCCTTCCAGTCAGAGCCAATCAGAACTCGGCGTCTTTCTGACGTCACCGCAACCCCTGAGCAAGGAGAGGACGAACTTCCGCTCCGCATAACTTTGCCGTGTTGGTAGCAGTCGGCATTTGGAAGATGGCGCGGCTGTATAGACGGTGTCGCGTGTGCGTCTATTTACACTCGGTGATCTGAGCAGATGAACATTAACGTGCTGAAGGAGACGGTGGTGTGGCGAGATCAGGTGCGTACTCTTTCGCCGTACTTTTCAATTGGCAATTGATGAACAAAAGGAAATCAAAATAACTTAACGCAGATGGCTGAATTTATCCAGCGCATAATATTTTGAACAACCCAAGGCTGGTTCACACTAAAGTCCCTTTGCTAAGCAGCAAAAGCGATTGATGTGCACACGCGCTCTTCCATTGTTCCGTGCCCGCGTTCCATTTCCGGTTAGGAAGAACATGACAGATTTGACTCGACCTCACTTTGGAGTAACGGTGTAATTGCATGGCGCCTTGGCGTTCGAAAACCCAGCGCCGCGGGCAGAGCCAGGGCGTGCACGAGACGCAGAAAGTGGGCTTGACATGCTCTCTAAAAGTATCCCCTAGCGGTAGCATATGTTGGTATATGGCTTGAATTATCGCGTAAGAGTGAAATGCAGTAACCCTTCATGGTTGGAAATATGGTGCACGTGATGTTTCAATTATGATCATGCAGAAAGATGTAAGAAGCGAATGTGCCGCTCGAACTCTTTTTTGCTCGGACAGAGTGTGACTGCTCGGACGGCAGAGACCCGGCCCTCGGCGCTTGGCGTATGGATTATGTCGATCATTCGGCTAGTCGCACTCTTCCACCATGATTTCAGATGACCGTGATTGAAACATCACGTGCACCATATTTTCAGT